CCCCAGACCAACGTTTGTGGCTCAGCCCAGCACTGGAAAATTCCTCCCCAACTCCTCCTTTTTATGGGAAACGGGCTCAAAAATCCTCCCAAAATCGCTAAAAAATCGCTAAAAAATCCAATTTTTTTCCCGTTTTTCCCCCGTTTTTTCCCGTTTTCACCCCGAATTTTCCTGAATTTTGTGTTTTTCCTCCCAGACCAACATCTATTCTTCAGCCCAGCACTGGAAAATTCCTCCCCAACTCCTCCTTTTTCAGAGAAACGGGCTCCAAAAATGCCCAAAAAATCGCTAAAAAATCCCATTTTTTCCCCGTTTTTTCCCGTTTTCACCCCGAATTTTCCCGAATTTTGATTTTTTTCCCCCCAGACCAACGTGTATGGCTCAGCCCAGCGCAGGAAGATGAGGCCCTTCGAGGGTTTCCAGCGCCGGGCCATCGTCATCTGCCCCACGGACCGCGAGCTGCGGCTGCGCACGGCCAAGCGCACGGACGAGGAGGGCAAGGACGTGCCCGAGCACGCCGTGCTCGAGATGAAGGGTGGGCATTCGGGGGGAAAAATGGGGATTTTAGGGATTTTAGGGGGAAAAATGGGGAGAAACGGGGAAAAAATGGGGATTTCAGGTGAAAAAATGGTGAAAAACGGTGAAAAAATGGGGNGGAAGGGGGTGGGAGGGATTACTGGGGGATCCCAAAGGATTTCCAGAGGATTCCCAAAGGATTTCATGGGATCCCAGAGGAATCCCAAAGGATTCCCAAAGGATTCCCAGAGGATTTCATGGGATTCGGGTGTAGGATCCCACAGGATTCCCAAAGGATTCAGGTGTGGGATCCCACGGGATTCCGGGAGGATCCAGGTGTGGCATTCCCAAAGGATTCCCAAAGGATTCCCAGAGGATTTCATGGGAATTGGGTGTGGGATCCCATAGGATTCCCAGAGCATTCCCAAAGGATTTCCTGGGATTCCAGGAGGATCCAGGTGTGGGATCCCAAAGGATTCCCAAGGGATTCCTGTAGGATTTAATGGGATTCCAGAGGATCCAGGCATGGGATCCCATGGGATTCCCATAGGATTCCTGAAGGATTCCCAGAGGATTCCCATAGGATCCAGGTGTGGGATCCCAGAGGATTCCTAGAGGATTCCCAGAGGATTTCATGGGATTCCATAGGATCCGGGTTTGCGACCCCATAGGATTCATGTGTGGGATCCCATAGGATTCCCAGAGGATTCCCAAAGGATTCCCAAAGGATTATATGGGATTTCATAGGACCCAGGTGTGGGATCCCATAGGATTCCTAAAGGATTCCTATAGGATTACATGGGATTCTGTAGGATTCAGGTGTGGGATCCCAAAGGATTCCCAAAGGATTCCCAAAGGATTTCATGGGATTCCCGGGGGATCTGGGTGTGGGATCCCATAGGTTTCCCAAAGGATTCCCAGAGGATCCAGGTGTGGGATTCCCAAATGATTCTCATAGGATTTCATGGGATTCCATAGGACCCAGGTGTGGGATCCCATGGGATTCCCAAAGGATTCCCAAAGGATTCCCAGAGGATTTCATGGGATTCGGGTGTAGGATTCCCAGAGGATTCCCAAAGGATTCAGGTGTGGGATCCCATAGGATTCCCAGAGGATTCCCAAAGGATTTCATGGGATCCCAGAGGATTCCCAAAGGATTTCATGGGATCCCAGAGGATTCCCAAAGGATTCAGGTGTGGGATCCCATGGGATTCCGGGAGGATCCAGGTGTGGGATCCCAAAGGATTCCCAGAGGATTCCCAAAGGATTTCATGGGATTCCACAGGACCCAGGTGTGGGATCCCACGGGATTCCATTGTAGGATTCCCATAGAAATCCCAAAGGATCCCAATGGAATTACCAGGGGTGGTTTCACT